AGGATTTCAGATGAGGGAAATGCTGTGTAATCTTAGGGGTTGGTATTTCTGACCTGTCATCCAGCAATATGTCACATTCAATGAGAGTGGGAAGTTTTATGTGTGTTTTCTCATCAACAGACTGAACAGTGAAGTTAGGTGCCCTATTTTCTCTATAGTACCTGAGCATGTTTTTAGTGTATAAGAAAACGTTTCACCACTAATGTTAAAGCAGAACTGCATGGGTTAAGTGCTCGTTTTTTCCAGGGGCTCAGGGAACAGCTGTACTTACCCATTCCTCCAATCCTCTGGAAAACCACACTCCCCCACGTCCAGTGGTGGACTGTTCCTGCTGGCCTCATGTCCAGAGCTGGTGTATGTGTGTGATGACATCAGGAAGAGCCCATTCTGAAGACCGCTAGAGTGCAGGGGAGGGGGGGGGGGGGGGGGGGGGGGGGGGGGGGGAGGACAGGAGCGTCGGGGACCGGTCTTGCATTCGGAGGAGCGGTGGATTAGGTAAGTATACAGGTGAAACTCGAAAAATTAGAATATCATGCAAAAGTGCATTTATTTCAGTAATGCAACTTAAAAGGTGAAACTGAGTAGAAATATGGGGGTCTGATAGTTAATGTTCTAATATACATATATACTTATAAGAATTTTTACTGCAGTTCCTTTTTCTCTTCTCAGAAAATGTGATTTGAAGTCTGAGACGTCTGGATTTAAAGGTTAACTTCCTCTTTCAAGTTTAAGAAAAGCATCTTATGGTCAAACCAGCAACTGTCTACTTTTGGACTTATTTGAACTATTAACCTACATTTAACTCTGAGTTTGCTGTTAAGCATATGAAATTTGATTGGGTCAAGACTATATGACCACGCCTAAACCTCAGTACGATCACGCCTATACGTTATGTCTATATATGTAATAGTCTAAGCTTAAAGAGACAGATATATATTTTGTATTACCTTAGTTCATCTCACATGAGGTGAACTTTTGTATGCTGTATTATCTCCACTGCAGTGTAATAAATGCACCTTTCTTTATCAATTCGGACTCGTCATCTCATCTATAAGGTCTCGTTTGAAGACACCCCAACCTGAAGACACAAAACTAATATATGAGATAGACTCTTTACATGCAAAGCAAGATAGTTCAAGCCGTGATTTGTCATAATTGTGATGATTATGGCTTACAGCTCATGAAAACCCCAAATCCACAATCTCAGAAAATTAGAATATTACATGCAATCAATAAAACAAGGATTGTACATAGAACAATATGGGACCTCTGAAAAGTATAAGCATGCATATGTACTCAGTACTTGGTTTAGGCCCCTTTTGCAGCAATTACTGCCTCAATGCTGTGTGGCATGGAAGCTATCAGCCTGTGGCACTGCCGAGGTGTTATGGAAGACCAGGATGCTTCAATAGCGGCCTTCAGCTCTTCTGCATTGTTCGATTTCATGTCTCTCATCTTTCTCTTGGCAATGCCCCATATAATCTCTACGGGGTTCAGGTCAGGTGAGTTTGCTGGCCAATCAAGCACAGTAATCCCATGTTCATTGAACCAGGTTTTGGTGCTTTTGGCAGTGTGGGCAGGTGCCAAGTCCTGCTGGAAAATGAAGTCAGAATCCCCATAAAGCTCGTCTGCGGAAGGAAGCATGAAGTGCTCCAAAATCTCCTGGTAGACGGCTGCTTTGACCCTGGACTTAATGAAGCATAGTGGACCAACACCAGCAGATGACATGGCTCCCCAAATCAACACAGACTGTGGAAACTTCACACTGGACTTCAAACATCTTGCAGTGTGTGCCTCTCCATTCTTCCTCCATACTCTGGGTCCGTGGTTTCCAAATGAGATGCAAAAGTTGCTCTCATCAGAAAAGAGGACTTTGGACCACTGAGCAACAGACCAGGTCTGTTTTTCTTTAGCCCAGGTAAGACGCTTCTGACGTTGTTTGTTGTTCAGGAGCAGCTTAACAAGAGGAATACGATATTTGAAGCCCATGTCCAGGATCCATCTGTGTGTGGTGGCTCTTGATGCACTGACTCCAGCCTCAGTCCACTCCTTGTGAAAGTCCCCAACACATTTGAATGGCCTTTTCCTGACATTCCTCTCCAGGCTGCGGTGAACCTGCTGCTTGTGCACCTTTTTCTTCCACACTTTTCCCTTCTACATAACTTTCTATTCATGTGCTTTGATAGAGCACTTTGGGAACATCCAACTTCTTTTGCAATTACCTTTTGAGGCTTTCCCTCCTTATGGAGGGTGTCAATGATGCTTTTCTGCACAACTGTCAGGTCAGCAGTCTTTCCCATGATTGTGATTCCTACTGAACCAGACTGAGAGACCAATTAAAGGCTCAGGAACCCTTTGCAGGTGTTATGGCTTAATTAGCTGATTAGAGTGGGACATTTTGAGCCTAGAATATTGCACCTTTTCACAATATTCTAATTTTCTGAGATTGTGGATTTGGGGTTTTCATGAGCTGTAAGCCATAATCATCACAATTATGACAAATCACGGCTTGAACTATCTTGCTTTGCATGTAATGAGTCTATCTCATATATTAGTTTCACCTTTTAAGTTGCATTACTGAAATAAGTGAACTTTTGCACGATATTCCAATTTCTTTGAGTTTCACCTGTATCTTAGCCAGTAGACAAAAATGAGCATTTAACCCACTGCATAGGAAAATAATAATTTTGCCCAGAATTCTTCTTTAAACACAGTAAAGAACTCAAACACTACTACATTCTCACAGAACAGTCAGGTTTATTAAGGGGTATACAGTCACTATACAAATCTTGGAACATGATCTGGGCCTCGTCCCTTCTGCACATACCTCCGTACACTTGCATACAATAGTTGATGGGGTAGGTTCATCTTCCTCCCTGCCTTGTTCTTTGTTAAACGGAGTCTCTATTGCCCAGTGGTCTGGACCTGGATGCAGTGCCAGGGCATGCTGGTCATTACTGCACTGTCTGCATATTATATTGACCTTGCAGTCTTCAGCAATGTGTTTGGTGGATGCACAACATCTGAAGCAGATAGCATTTTTCTTCAGGTAAGCTTTACGCTCATCGGTGTGCTTACGTCTGAATCCATAACACTTTGACAGTGGGTGTGTTTTTTTTATGGATTGGGCATGAGCTATCTGGGTCCATTGACTTCTTTTCGGAGTTGTTATAATGTAAAGCTGCATTACTGGCTGACACCTCTGTCTTTCTGACTGACATTAATGATCTGTTGCCATGCTTTGCTATTTTCTCTGTGTTTGCTGACATCTAGTTACTGTACGTCGAGAATATGAAGCTTGAGTCATTTCTAGTCTTTGCTTGGTTGATGATAAACTTGAAGAAACTGAATGGTGGGAAGGAGACATGACCATCTTCCTTGTACTCAGAGCCTTGAGAAATCCACTTATCTTGCAGACTGTATTGGAGCTTATCAGTTATTGGTTTAATCCCATGAGTTGTGTCTAGGTATCCCGATCCTGGTAAGTGGCCTTCGGTCTTGGCTGCATTGATCTCCAACAACATGTCACTAAGTTCTCCTAACGTTAGGTTGTCTTTGTTAGACGTTTTAGGGAAGTCATCCAGTTTTTTTCAACAGAGGGTTCTCAGTAGCTTTAGGGCTGCTATAACAGTCCTCTAATCTATGTCATACCATTTTAATCCCAGCAGCTGGATCAAGAATGTGTACAGACCTGATTCTCTTGGCCTGTCAAAATGACTCTGGTCCAAGCCACTTTGTTAGCAGATCTAGCTCCTCTCTAGACATTTGATTCATATCTTTGGTGATGCCTTGGAAAGATGTCTTGCATGCCCGATAGTTCTTGGGAGGGTCATCAAATGTTAGTAGCTTGGTGCTAATTCTCAGCAATCAAGGGGCTTTGCCAGATTAGTTGTCCCTGAGGATCCTAAAGGGCCATTTCCAAAGGAGGATACATGATAACCCATGTCACATGATGAATGCTGAGGGTTAACATCATCTTTACTTTCTTGTACCCATGGCACTGGGACAGTTTCAGAGTTAAATTGAAACATGGGGAACAGTTCAGGAATACCTGGAGAGCGCTGTTGATATGTCAAGTTAGAAAACTTTGGGAATGTGTTGGAGATAGGCTTGATAGAAGCATACTCTGTCGTAACCTGGTCTGGAGCATTGTTCTGTACTTATTCCTGAGCCTTTTGCACTGAATCATGAGTTGTTATTTCCTTAAGATCTTGGCGCGGATCCCCTTCTGAACCAACTGCAGTTTCCTATATTGCAGCTTCTGCTGATGCTGCTGCTACCACTCTTTGAGTTTGCAACACATGCATACTAGCTTCTATTTTTGCTTTCTGCCTGAACGAGTTGGCTTCTAACTCTGCTTTCTGCCTCAAGTCAGCTTCTTTTTGAGTGTATACCCACTGCACATGCTACCTGTGCCTTTGCTCTTGCTCGGAGGCCTGCAGAACTGACTGATGATCTGTTGGAATGTACTATCTGGAGCCAGACATGTGGGACCTGGTCTCTGAAGTTTGAGGCATAATGTCCACTCTCCTATCTGGATCCATGATGTATAAGTTAACCGCTTCCCGACCACCCTATAGCAGAAATACTGCTACAGGGTGGCACGGGTGCGCAAAATCACATATATATACACGTGATTTCGCATTTCCGGGTAGGGAGTGTGCAAGAGACTGTGCGAAACGGACCTGAATGGTTTGAATGGCTCCTAAACCTTGTGCCCTTGCAATGTTCAGTATTTAGATTCTAATGTATAGTACAATGTATGATGTATAATGAAAATGATTAATTTGTGTTCTATTCTTGTCTCAAGTATATGTGATTTAGTGGTTTAATGTATTTCTTCATTATTTTTTTTTACCAAGTACATTAATTTGTGATGTTTTCCTTATAAAAAATGTTTATTGTAGTCACAGAAGACAATTGGACACAGCACAGAGATATTTTATTTTGAGTTTGTATGTTGAAATTGTACATTTAAATAATTAACGGCAGAACAAACATTAGAAATTGTTGATTGATATTGCTTCTCTCATCTGCATACATATGACTTCATCAATGTACAGGGTATTTTCTTTAACCTGAATTTCTTCTTCTAAAGATAGCTGGTTACGGATCAGGCCTTTTAACTCAGCTTCTGCTTGGCTCAGAGTTTCACGTAGTCTGCAAAAAACATGACAAACTGTTGGTGGTTCTTTATTTTAAAGGAGAAAATCAATACACAAAAACCTGGGGGGAGGTTCAGCTTAAACTTATTCAAATGGCGCCTTCAATATTCTACCTAGAAACCTGATAGTATAACCGATTGACCCAAATGTAAATATACTTTCGCCATGGAGAATAGCTTTTTGTTGGGGCTGTTGCTATGAACAGGGTCATCAAACACTCCTATGATATTATGTGGAACAATTGCAGGGGCTCAATCTTCTCTGCAATTATGGCATGAGCACACTTTTATATTGGGCATAAAAAAAATGAATCTTGAATAAATAGCTACAACTGGCCCCTCAGACCATATCTTAAAGAGGAACAATCCTTTACAGCCAAGGATGGCACTATCTTAGCCTCTGGTTGATCTGCAGTTATCATAGTGCTGTACATGTGATCACCAGCCATATGAGGGCTTGAAAAATCACTTTAGAGCTGATATAAAGCACGCTGACAGTTATCACCAGAGGTATACCTTGAATGTAGCGGTTTTGGGAAACAGAGAGTTTAGTACCACTTGCCCTCCGGAAGATTTCCCGCCCTTCCTGACCAGGCCATTTTTTGGTATATGGTGCTGCGCTACTTTAACTGACAATTGCGCTGTCATGCAACACTGTACAGAAATTAAAAATTTATATAATTTTTTCACCCAAATAAAGCTTTATTTTGGTGGTATTTGATCATCACTGGGATTTTTATCTTTTGCTCTATAAATGAAAAAAGACCGAAAATTTAAAAAAAACACCAATATTTTTGTACTTTTTGCTATAAAACATGTACAATAAAAAATTTTTTTTTTTAATTTTCTTCATAAATTTAGGCAGAAATGTACACGGTTACATGTCTTTGGTTAAAAAAAAATCCCAATAAGTGTATATTAATTGGTTTGCATGAAAGCTATAACTGGCGGTATATAAACTCACAGCGGGACTGTGATTGTGCGGCGGGCATTCAGATACTGACACTGGGTGGGAACTAACTGCCACTGACATCTCCAACGACACGAATACAGTGATCAGTGCTAATAAAAAGCACCAACACTGTACTAATGACACTGGGCAGGAAAGGATTAACATCTGGGGTGATCAAAGGGTTACCTGTGTGTTAGGGAGTTATTAGCCTGTGTACCATGTGGTTTACTAGGGGATGTGCTGGCGTTTATCTTCCTCCTTTGCAGAGAGATAAAAACCAAAACACATCCTGCTGACAGGAGAGATATCTGTGTTGTTTACACTCATATATTTCTCCTGTCAGTTGCTCCACTGATCACCACTGGCCGGGACACGGTAATTGACACCTACGCATGGATAGAACAGCACGCGTGTTTGTGCCCCTTAGCCAGAAATGCAAAATCACGTACACTCACCGGCCACTTTATTAGGTACATTTTGCTACTGTCGAGAAAATATCCCCCACACCACTACCACCAGCCTGAACTGTTGATAAAAGGCAGGATGGATCCATGCTTTCATGTCGTTTACGCCAAATTCTGACCCTACCATCTGAATGTCCCAGCAACCAGTCTGCCCATTCTCCTCTGACCTCATACATCCACAAAGCATTTTCGTCCACACAACTGCTGCTCACTGGATATTTTCTCTTTTTCGGACCATTCTCTGTAAACCCTAGAGGTGGTTGTGCGTGAAAATCCCAGTAAATCAGCAGTTTTTGAAATACTCAGACTAGCCAGTCTGGCACCAACAACCATGCCACGTTCAAAGTCACTTTCTTCCCCAATCTGATGCTCGGTTTGAACTTCAGCAAGTTGTCTTCACCACGTCTACATGCCTAAATGCACTGAGTTTCTGCCATGTGATTGGCTGATTAGCAATTTGTGTTACCAAACAATTGAACAGGTAAACCTAATAAAGTGGCGGGTGAGTTTATATACAAGTTATTTTACGCAGAGCGGCCCCCTAGGGTGGCCAGGAAATGGTTAAAATGGTATTAAACCCTTCTATCCTTTCCAGCTAATGAAGCTACCATCTTAGCCTCTGTTTGATCTTAGGTTGCCATTTTGCTGCATATGTGGTCAGTTATGGCAATTCGATGGCTTGACCATTCGGGTGAAAGCAATTGAGAGTTATTCATGCTCAAAAGTTTGCACACCCTGGCAGAAATCAAGAAATGTCATTGATATTGGAAATATGACTGATCATGCCAAAAAACTGTCTTTTATGTAAGGATAGTGATCATATGAAGCCATTTATTATTATCACATAGTTGTCTGACTCCTTTTTAAATCATAATGATAACAGAAATCACCCAGATGGCCATGATCAAAGGTTTACATCCCCTGGAATGTTTGGCCTTGGTACAGACAAGCAAGGTGACACACAGCTTAAAACGGAAATTTAAGGTTAATTTCGCACATCTGTGGCTTTTTAAATCGCAAATAGTGTGTGTATAAATAGTCAATAAGTTTGTTAGTTTTCAAGTGGATGCACTGAGCAGGCTAAATACTGAGCCATGGGGAGCAGAAAAGAACTGTCAAAAGACCTGTGTAACAAGGTAATGGAACTTTATAAAGATGGAAAAGGATATTAAAAGATATCTAAAGCTTTGAATATGCCAGTAAGTATTGCATTGGTACAGAAGTCACAGAAGTCAGTTGTGGACCAGGGCACAGACAGTAAGTTGTAGATGGTGGGGTACAGAAGTGGGTTTAGGAGAGGGGAGGGCAGAGCTGAGTTGTGGATAGTGTGGTGCCCCTTTAAGACCTGTCCACTGTGCAATTTGGCCACACCCACCCTATGATGTGGTGCACAAACTGTCAGTTACTGCTCTCTGCTCTGCCCCCAGCGCTTACTGGAGTGCTGGGTTGTGGATGGGGCAGGAACGGCTGGTGCAGGCTAACAGCGGATTTGAGAGGCTGAGCCAGGTGCCAGTCCAGGCTCCTGGGTGGATCTCGACCATATGGTTGTGATCTTTCCCCAGCCTGGACCTGCTCTGTGTCATTAGCCGACAGCGGGCTTTAAGAGTGCAAAACAAACAAAAATGAACAAATGAGATTTGGCTGTACTTATCCTTTAAGGGAGAATTACAAATTTTTAGAGTTGTAGTGCAAGTAAGAGGTGAGGGGAAACCCCTCCACTTGGGACAAATGTTCTGGTGACAACAGTCTAAGATGAGAATTGTTCTCTCTTCTGGGCAGGGGTGTATTTACCACAAGGCAAACAAGGCATTTGCCTAGGGCGGCATTTTTTTTTTAGGGGGCAGCACTGCCCCTCGGAAGAAGGGACACACGCGGAACCTGGTGAGTTCCAAGAGAGGCTGTGGGTTTCATGACGATGTATGCACAGCCCGACTCTCATTCCCGGGGATGTCCAGAGCTGTGAAGGTGGGTGTCTCTCTCAGCATGGGACATAGTGACTGGTGTATGGAGGGCAGTGGTAGTGGAAGGCTCCCTCAGGTGGGGAGCATGGGTGTTGTTGGTCCATGTCAGGCACTCTCTGCAGGATGGGGGGGGGGCGCGACGATTTTTGTGTTGCCTAGGTCAGCACAAAACCTAAATACACCACTGCTTCTGGGGAATTTCCTCTCCCCTCCTGTTGTTTTGAAGACAGGAAGTGAAGGGAAATCTCCCCTGAAGGATGCAGGCAGAAAAAAGTGATAAGGGATTTAACCCTTCCCTACTCTAAAGCTTTACATACTGTACACTTTAAGCACTTCCCGTCCGGCTGTTGTATATAAACGGCTGGATGGTGGCAGTGCAGGGTCGGGTGGCCGTTTATACATGGCCTCACCGCCCCCTGCTTGTGCTCACTTCTGACATCATTGCTTACTATGTGTGAAATCTGTGAATGATCACAAAGGTTACATTGTACAGGGCTATTCACAACAGCCTTTTACCATGTGACAAGCTGTGACCAATCACAGCTCACACAGTAGTTCTCAATGGCTGCAAGAATGCAGCCAGAGAGAAGAAGAAATGATTGCTTTTACAGCCTTTATGGGTGTAAAAGCAATCAGTGTAAAAAAAAAAAATCTTCATCACCTCCCACAAGTAGTACAGTGTCACCATGCTGACACTGTACTGCTAGGATGACAGTATATAAAAAAAAAAAAAATAAAAAAAAAAAAATAAAAAAAAATGTAAAAAAAAAAAAAAAAAAAGTTTAAAAATCATAATTTTTGGGTATAAACGAATAGGGTTATTTTTTTTTTTTTACTACAAAGATAGCTGAATACATTTTGGCCAAGATTTATGATTTACCACCAAAATAAAGCTTTATCTGTCTCAAAAAAATGCTAAAAAATTCATATGGGTACAGTATTGCATGACCGTGCAATTCTCATTCAAAGTGTGATAGCGCTGAAATCTGAAAATTGGCCTGGACAGGAAGGGGGTAAAAGTGTCCGGACTGGAAGTGGTTAATATGCATAGAAATGATTACAAAATAATCTGGCTTGTCCCACCACTGCCTCATAAAGAGAAACAATGGGGAGATCAGAGAGCATGCACCAAATGGTGTACAGTATGCACATGCTAGGGGAATGGAGGAATGTTTGGACAATTCCCTATGTGTATCGTGGCTTTCACTTTGCAAGCTTGGACATTTCAAGCTGACATTATGATGAAACATGCATAATCAGAGGTTACCACCAATGAAAACATCCTATCAAGACACTTTCAGGGGTGGTGGCAATCTCAACTTTTGCAGCTAATGTCTAGATTTGCATATCAATTGAGCTGTCTGCATTTGTTTTTTTTTTTTTTTATAATTTTATCACAGAGTTTAAATTAAAATAATCAACGATTATGCTTGTGTCATCATAAATTTAGTTTGAATTACACTGGTTTTTGGCATATGGTTCTTGTGGGTTCATTTACCCTTTATTGGCACTGTTTGGATAATGCAGCTGCTCTTAAAAAAAAAAAAAAAAAAAAAAATCAGCAAATGTCCTGTGAGCCCAGGGTGTCATTGTTTTGACCACCCCCCCAACCTGGACTCAGAGGAGAATACTGTAAAGAGTGGTGCCTGCTGTTTGCCCACTGCTGAAGGAAAAATAGAGATAAAAAGACCTGTGATGTTATTGGACTAGAGTAGACTGAAGACAACTTAACAGAGGGAAGTGTATTGATTTGTTTTTTAAGGGGGCAGCAGTGCTCCAATAAGTGGGGTGGGGGAAACCCAGTTGGGCTTTAAACTATTCCAGCAAATGACCTCAGGACATCTAGGGAAATATTCAAATTTGCTTTTCTGAAAAGGCACAAAACAAAAAGAATAGTGAAAAGACAGTGGAATATAGTAGACTCCTACTAATAAAAGCTGATTTAGCATGCATTAAACAGCAGTTGTTTGTTGGGAATCAAGGGTCTTACCATTTGTGAATGTTTAGATGGCAACTTTTACAGCAGCCCATAACTTACCAACGTTTTAGTAGGCTTATCTTGAATATAGTGGGAAACAAACCAAGAATCTTATGATAAAAACTAGCACACAAGAGAACATCAGGTTTTTCTAACCTTTCAACATTTGTGGAAATCTCTCCAACCTCACTGATGAGTCTGTACTGGACAGGGTCTCGACAGAGCTCTACATTAGGCCTCAATGTTCTTGTCTGCAGGCGGGTCTGAGCCACTTTGATTGGACCTTCCTTATTGGCAATGGCTTTCTTCAGGTTTTCTATGTTCTTCTCCTGTGAAGTGATCTCATCCATAACCTTAGAAACAAATGTTTCAAATAGATCTTATGAAAAAGATACATAATAGTCAACAGACATTGAAGTTATTTGATCACATGTGCCTCAATCTTTGTTCTACTCTTTAGAAATAAGTGTGGTATCGATTTAAAAAAAAAGTAGCATGAACCCTTCCTCAAAGTAGCATGTAAAAAATAGAACCCAGAATGCTGTCCTTCCGTGTCTTTGGTAACCGTGGTATCCGGGGGCATGTTGGGTATCCTCTTCACTGTACCCACAGTTCCCATGGAGAATAATTGCCTACCTGTCTATTTGCGAGGTGCAGGTTGACAGATAGGCCAAAAATATTCTGGGGCATCTTCTGGCGACATTACCATCTTTATTGTGATGAGAGTTTGGTCACAGACACTTTTTTCTATTGTCACATCACTACTCTGTTTTGCTTGAGTAATGAAAGTTTACTTTTTCTGAGCTATAAAGAACCTTCTGACTCTCCTCAACACCCCTATACCCCCTTTTACCTACAGTTTTCTTGCTGAATTTAGTCATGAAAGAATAAATTAACTCAAATTGTATAATCTGAGACTTGGCGCTGCTCCTCTAAGATTGTTTGCCCTAGGCACTGATCTGAGTGCTACTATGGTAAACCCAGCCCTGGCCATACATGTACAGCCAGATATTAAAGTGATACTAAAATCTTTTTATTTTCAATAACAAACATGTCATACTTACCTGCTCTGTGCAGTGGTTGCACAGAGTAGCCCGGATCCTCCTCTTCTCAGGTCTCCTGCCAGCGCTCCTGGCAGCTTGCTATGGGGGCATCCGAGCAGGCGCGCTAGCGAGCTGTGGCTTGTGTGTGTCCATTCACACACAAAGGCACGCAACGGCCCCGCCCCAGCCCTCCCTCCCCTGATTGGCTTACTGACTGTGATTGACAGCAGCAGAAGTCAGTGGCTCAGGTAAGTGTTAGGGGGGGCTGCTAAACACAGAAGGTTTTTTTTACCTTCATGCGTACAATGCATGAAGGTAAAAAAAACTTTGAGCCTTTAGAACCACTTTAAAGTATATGTAAACCCAATCATAAAAATCTCATATAAACTTTACCAAGTTACTTCTGAAGTAAATTTCAATATTTTTCAATCTGCTTTCATTAAAATATTGCCTGGCGATTCTGTCATAAATGTCCTAGTTCAGGCATTGCTCTTATAAGGTGATCACACTCTGTTCCTGTGTCTCAGTTGTGACCTGCATTGACACCGTGCCACTCAGTTTTCCCGCAGGAGACAAGTGGTTGTTTCTACACACCTTATACAAGCAGGGGCAAATGTTGTCAGAATTAGGAAACCCAACCTGAGAAATGCCATGCAGCCGTCAATGCAGTGCATGCAGACATGAGAAGGTTGCAAAGAGGCTGCAGACGATCAGCAACAGTAAGATGCAACAAAGGATGGAAAAAAGGCAATTAAATATTATTTGAATGCTGATTCCAGGCTTGCCCTGCAGTACATGGGACTGAGTAAAAGAAGAAAAATGCATTTAAATAATACAGCATCTTGCAACATTTTTGGAATGCAAAACCATATACCTTAGCTAAGTGCACTTCCAACTTATTTTTTGCATCCTTTGTCTCTGCCACACGGTTTTTCAGGGCAACGTTGACAGTATCACACTGTTTGCGCATATCGCTGGCTGTTTCAGACAAAATGCTGTCAATAAGGGTCCGAAATGCTACTGAGTTGTTTCTCTGTTTCTCTGCTTTCACAATGTTTGTGTTGCTGAAATCCTCCCATTCAACAGGGATAACTGAGCTGGAAGTGTAAAAATAATGCTTAGTGTACTTAATACTGAAAGATTATATTAGAGCCCTGGTGCCCAGCCCTTTGGCACATTTTGTGCAGCCCTTGGGGCCCCTGCAGACACTAATCCACGTTTCCCTGTTGTTGTTATAGTAGTGATTTCTATCAGTCTCATGTGTCCTGTATATGACATGTTCGCAGTCTTCAACAACTCCTATAGGATGTACACAATATATGATAGTCTCCTAAAGCATGCTCACAGTCTCTGACCATCTCTTGTATCTCATCTGCAATCTCTAATCATCTCTTGTTATGTCATGTGTTATGTCTGCAGTCTCTGACCATCTCTTATACCATGTGGGTATTGGATTATAACTTTTTTTTTTCTATGGTTGAACTGGATGGACTTTTGTCTTTTTTCAGCCAGACTAACTATGTAACTATGTCCACAGTCTTTTTACCATCTCTATTATGGCCACAGTCTCTTATCTCTTGTCCATAGTCATTGACTATATCCTGTTGTGTGTCTGCTATCTCTTATAATGATTATTTAGTACATTTTCTGTGCAACCCTTTGGTGAAGTTGAGGGCTACACTTGATGCCTCCCATATCAACAAAGTTGACCAGCACTGTATTAGAACATAGGTACACAGATCGGTCATCAAGACTTACTAACGATTAATGATTTCCTCTCTGGAACACAGATTCCATGATCAAAATAATTAACTAAAGTTCTCTATGCCCAAGTAGGAAGATCCACAAAACCTATCCCGTTGTTGGGGCCTAGATAGGGAAAATAATCCCTTATGTATTTAAGCACCCTTATGGTTATTTATCACCAACTGTATTCCTGGTAATAAGCCAGTCCAAATGCAGCAGAAATAGCCAGATATCAGTGTTCTTAAAGCCCAACTGCAAGCAGTTAAGCAAGAGTTAAGTGCTCTTTTGGGTCTAGGTGGCATAGAAAAGAAGATTTAAGTACCCAAACTTCCACCCTGCTAGACGAGTCCCTGCAGTGTTTTCTCCCCCATGCTCCAGTGGTCTAAGGTCCTGTAATCATTAACACAAATACAGGGTCCATAGCCCTGCATTGGCTATGATGATGCTGAAAACCAGTCCACCCCGGAGCATGAGGGAGCGCCATCTGCGGGGGGGAGGCAGAGCATCAGATAAGTAAAAGTTCTTTTACTGTCTCCTAGAATAAACGAGCAGTTAACTCCTGCAGTGTGGGTGCATTCGAATATCCCTGAGTTGGGCTTTAAACAAAAAATTCCTTTAATGACTGGTCATCACTTTTCACTTCTGATGTTAAAAGAAACACGAGTATGTATACATACCTCAGAATACTCATATTGCTCTGATTTTTCCTAACAATTGCCAGCTAAATGAATGAGTCAAAGCATACTAGTTAATAGTTGTGCAAGGTTTAATTAAGATCTCTTACTTCCCCTGGACTGTCACAACATTGGAAGCATATCTAATGTCTGGAGTGTTGTTTGTTAATGTGCTGCAATGATTATCGATTTTCAAAGCCTGGAACTTGTCTTTCAGATCCTTCTCCAGGGAATACTTAGCGGATCGACTCAACCTGCAGGTATAAGAGAAAAAGGGTCATGAGCGAACCAACCGCACAGCCCTGAATTCAAAGGTGCTCTACAGCCCTATTAAAAGGAATCTGCCAGGAGGAATATGGGAGCTGCCACTGCTGATTTATTTGTGTTATTATACATACCATAAAACAATCTACTCTAATACAGAAGCAGCTGCCAAAAAGACAATTTATGCAGTCCTTAAGTGAAATATTAAAATTGCAGAGCTAGGGTTATCCAGCTGCAAATAGCAAATTGCACCCACAATGTCCACACAACATATCAAAGAATATCCCACTGCGATGTAATTTGTGTTACATAATTCCTTTGCTATCCCAACCTCTTGTTAGCACAGGGTCACTTGTATCAAAACGTGGTTTATTTTCTCATGGAGAGAATTCAGAAAGCTATACCACATTTTGTCCACTAGATGGAACTGATAATAATAGGAATTAATCTATTACACAAAATATGGGGAAAATTCATGCAGCCTCAGGGATGTTCAATTTATATCACTCGATGTCCAGGACATGTAGTTCTGGGCACTAGGCAGGTAGCTTTTGTTAATGTTTAGCCCTACTGTGGGCCAGCAGCAGGGCTTACCTGTCAGATGGAAGCATTCTGGCGGCTGCAGAATGTAATGCAATGTGATGTGCATTGCATTACATCCATTGGAGTACAGGGGAGACATCCAGGGTCTTTTAGACCCTCAATAAAGAGAAATTGTCAACAAAACTCATCACATAGGGGACTTTTTCCCCTATGTGATGAAAAAAAAAGTTTTCTTTTAATTGTAAAAAATTAAAGTTGCACCCCAGCACATAAACCCCTCCCCCCCTAAAAAAAATTTTGAGGACCCCCCACCTCCACATATACACACGTACAAACATAAAAGCACACACTGGGCCGCCTACGCATGAAAATGTTGATTGTGATACACGTTACATATCGCCTTAATTCTAGCACCAGACCTCCTCCATAAGACTAAACTGATGACCTATAAGGGCTTTAAAAGTGTCGCCTATAGAAAATATAGGGTACTAAAGTTTGTCGTCATTCCACGAGCGCACGCAAATTTAAGATTTGACATGCTGGATATCTATTGGTGCAACCTCACCTTTTATATTTTACTAGAAAATTGGGTAATGTATTTCTTTTTTGTGCCCTAAAATTAAATTAAGGGCATTGTTTTACTGAAATTTGCTAGATGTTTCCTAGACCTTTGTGGTAATATGTGATAAAAAAAAATTGCAACTACCATTATTTTATTCTCTAGGGTCTCTCCTTTCAAAAAATATATAATGTTAGGGGGTTTTGTGTAATGTAAACGTGCATACAAAAAGCGCAAAAGGGCTCTGGCAGTGAAAGGGATAAAGGATAAACCTGACACCCCCTTTCCTGACAAGCAGCCAAATCGGTGCTCATTACACTGCAATGTCTCTCCTCCCCTGCTAGTCCCCAGGTGCAGTGCTGGAGACAGGCAGGGAGATGAGGAAGAGATAGGGGCAGAAACTCAGGCACTGCCGAGGGCCCAGGGTCAGTAGGGGTCCCCATGAGATGCCCCTGGTACCTTTTTCATAGGCTTTTTTGAGTTAGGGCAAGGACACAGGGGCCTCATGATCCCCTATTGCCCCGGGGGCCCCATGAGTTGTCAGTCCACCCCTGGGAAGAGATAAACAGCTCAATGTTAAAAATATTAAACTTTTAAGTCACTGTAAAGCCACTTGTTTTTAATAGCCCCAGACATTCCTAAAAGCACCTCAGATTTAAATACGGTTTTGGTTAAAATTGATTGTCACAAGGGACAAGTAGATTGGGACACAGATTTAGCCCCTGGACAAGTAGTTTTTTAAAAAATTTCCACACCCTGAGCCTGAACAAATGTGTGTGTTTTCATTCAATTCAAGTGGTGATAAAAAAAAAAAAGTCAGGTCCCCTGCAAGGTAATATTATGTGCTAGTAAGCATCGAATACTATATGAAATACTTACCTTAAAATTAAGCCCTCCAGCGGTGAGCTGTCACCACTGACAGGGCTTCCATATTCATCCAGTCTTCCAGGTTTGCAGGCTCTGGCCGTTTGAATGGCCAAGCCGCGATGATATCACTCCCGCTTAGGCACAAGGGACTCACAGCTGCAGCACAGAGCTCTAAAAGGGATGGCATGAGTATGCCGTTACTTCAGAGCACATGCATTGGTGACATCACCAGCTGCCAAACAAGCCAATATCTCTTAAACAGTGCACATTTAGGATAAATTCATTTTAACTGCGTAAGCTTTATTATAAGCCTACCTGGAAAGAATCACAAAGCAGAGTTTATTACTGCTTTAATGTTTTATAAATAGACCCCTTAAACAATCGGCAAACAATAAAAATGATAAAAGGTTAAATACCTAGGATTAAAATAAAGAAAAAGAATAGTGAAGGGAAGGAAGGGGTTCATTAGGGCTAGCTAGACTAAGGATTCATTTTTTTTATTTAAATATTTTATTAATTTTCAGATTACCATTTAACATATACAAAAAAGCCAATAAACCCACACAATAAAATACTCCAATCTATTTTTTTTCTTTTAACAATATGGCAAAAAAAAAAAAAATTAACATTAAAACTTGGTAACATTTTTCCCCTCTCCCTCACCCTTCCCTCCCAGTCTACCCCAGAATCTACCCTATCTACCCCTCTCACCCACCCCATAGACAACCTTGATTTCGCACTTTTCCATTCACTCTATAATTCCTATTTCATGGGAGTACTAGCTTAATATTTCAATTATCCTAGAAGATTACTTTTCTCTATTACACATATTCTAGGTATATTTTTGACTTTTTAAATTCCTCCCATTTTTCCCACCTCATACGGAAAACCCCCATTTTGTTCTGTCCCCCTTTGTAATGTACAGCGCTGAGCGAACTATTGGCGCTTTATAAATACTGTATAATAATAATAATAATAATAATTACACATATTCTAGGTATATTTTTGACTTTTTAAATTCCTCCCATTTTTCCCACCTCATACGGAAAACCCCCATTTTGTCTTCATCTATATGGTAAAATTCTTCCAATCTATATATTTTTTCTACCCTCTCAACCCAGTCCTTTATTTTCAGTGCTTGTTGTTCCCTCCAAAACTTGGGTATTAGGCCCTTAGCTGCATTCAAATAATACATTAATCCAGATTTTTAATATTTTTTTTACTGATAATTCAGTGCCATAAAAAAGACAAGCTTCAGGCTCCTTTGGGATATTGAGCTCCGTTATTTTCTGGATTAAGCGAACTATTTCCCCCCCCCCCAATCTTGAATTGTTTGACACTCCCACCATAGGTGAAACATTGTACCTCTTTCTGCACATCCACGCCAACACAAAGCTGTATTATCTCCATTTATTTTATGTGCTACACTTGGTGTAATATACCATCTCACTAAACATTTATAATTCAATTCAACCTCTTTTATATTTACATTCCCATGAATCAACCTATACATTTTCTTTTGTTTTTCCTCATCCATTATTATTCCTAAATCCCTTTCCCATTTCTCTATATATAATGGCCTTATGACCGTGATTAATCCTGTGAGAATCTTATATATTTTAGAAATCCAGTGTTTCCCCTCTCCCCGTGTGTCCAATAATCGCTCAAAAGGGTTCCATTCCTCTTTTTTTCTTAGCGGCTTTGGGAGGTTCTCTATAAAATGTTTCAATTGAAGAGAACGCCATTCATCCATTTTCATAAATATCTCCCTCTTATTTTTCAATTCACTAAGTGAACATAGTTTCTCTCCCACCATAATGTCCCTTAATTGTACATCTTTCTTCTTTATCCACTTCCCTGTAATACTTTCTTTACCTGGAGGAAAAAACTCTGTGGACCCTAAAAGGCATTAATAGTGAATTAAATTCCCATCCCATTTGTTTATGTATAACATCCCATACTCTTAAAGCATTACGTGTAAACAAACTTGTTCTATCTATTAATCCCCGGTATTGAGGAGGTAACCAAATAATTCTACTTAAATTCGTGAAACTTAGTGTGTTTTCTATTTTTACCCAACTTTTCCCCTGTGCATTATGTGTCCAGTCAAAAATGCTCGCCAATATTACTGTGTTATAATATCTTTTCAAATCTGGTACTCCCAATCCACCTCTCTCTCTACTTAGGACTTCATAACTTATTCTAGGCTTCTTATTCCTCCAAATGAATCTTGTTAGAATTTTTTAAAATTATTCTAAAATATACTACTGGTAATTTAATTGGTATCATTTGAAATTTATATAGAATTTTTGGAACAATAACCTATTTTATCAGGTTTATCCATCCGATCCATGTGTGAGCTCCCCATCCTAGTTTCTTTATTTCATCTTTAATCTCATTTAATAGTGGAATATAATTTAATCTATATAAATTCTTTAGAGAAACCGTTAATTTTATACCAAGGTATTTTAATTCTTGCTCTCTCTCTCTCTCTCTCCAAACGAAGGGGAATTCCTCCTGTAACATTTTTTTCTCTTTATTGAAGAGGTTTATATTTAAGATCTTTGTTTTGGTAGGGTTAATTTTTAAATTTGACAACTCTCCATATTCTTTTAAAGATTTAATTAAATTTGTCATCCTTGGGTTACCTACATAGAACAGCATGTCATCTGCATAAGCTGCCACCCTTATGCTCTATTTCTCCTACCAAAATTCCTTTTATATCTATATTATTCCGGATGGTAGCCAAGAGAGATTCCAGAGATAAAACATATAACAATGGAGACAGAGGACATCCGTCTTGTTCCGTTCTGCATCCCAATAAACTCTGATCATTTCCCGTTAACCATAATTGCTGCTAAAGGTTGACTATATAATTTCCTAATCCATTCTCTCATTCTAGGACCCAATCCCAAAACTTCCAAAGGTGTCTAACATATATCCCCAATTTACTCAAATGCCTTTTCAGCATCAATCGAGAGTATCAACGCAGAAGTATTATCTTTCCTACTTTTTTGCATGAGAAATAAAGTTCTCAATCCATTATCTCTACCTTCTCTCCCTGGGACGAATCCTACTTGATCTGTATGTATCCATTGCGGCATTAGGTCAACCTATTTGCTTGTACTTTTGCATATAATTTAGTATCTATATTTAATAAGGAAGTTGGTCTATAACTTGAACAGTAAGTATTATCTTTACCTTCCTTACGTATGAGGACTACATGGGCCTGCTGGGATTCCCTCCTCATTTCCATTTCTCCACCCAAAGCATTCATATATATCCTCAATTTAGATAGTAATATTTCTTCATATTTTTTATAATATTTTACTGTATACCCATCAGGTCCAGGACTTTTCCCTGCTACAGTACTTTTAATGCTAATTGAATTTCTTCCTGAGTTGACTAAGGATTAATACTGTAGGTAAATAGGAACAAATGTTTTTAAATGGTAGGGTTGGTTTAAATAACATAATATGAAGATCAAAATTAACATTATATGGAACACGGCTTCTCTGCTGCTACAGCATTAAGAGCAGAGTAAATGGGTGTACGGTACCTGGCTTGCATTTGCGATGGTTTTGAGTTTCTTCTAGGATGCTTTTGCATTCACATCGACTTGAATAGGGAAGAAAAGTTAGAAAGTCCCCTTGTACACAAGCCTTATGCATTTTGTCATGTGCATAAAGTAATGGCTTGATCCACGAATTGCCAACATCCAGTGTTCCACTATGCAAGTTTTACATCTATGTTAGAGTTTGATCACTCACTTGGAATCAGGAAATACAATTATTGTATACCCTGTCCATGCTTTTATATTTTGCAGCATATACTTATTACTTGACATTTATAGCAGGCAGAGTAAATTTTAAAGCAGGTCTGTGGCCAGGCTTTATAACAAGCTCCTATTGACCTCTTTAGCTGCAGGCACTGTGCAGAAATTCATTCTCAAATTAACAGCAGAAAACACATTGACCCTGCTTCCTCCTTCAGCAGTAACTCGGCAGCCTTCCAGCCTTCTAATCTCTAATATAAACATAGAGCAGGTAGACAAGAAGAGAGAGGAATAAACTGCTAAGAACTTTGAAGGACTGCACTGTATGTCCTGTAAACTTTTAGGGCTCAATTACAAGGGCTCAAAGCCCTGTACAGAGTGAAGAGACATTGGTCTATCTTTTTGTATTAACATGTAGCTGCATGCAGGAAGCCCACATAAGTGAATGGATATGGATCAGCTATAAGAAACTCACCCACTTAGCTGAGGTTGACAGGTATGCAAAGATGGGTGTTCTGACCGGACAGGCTCTGCATTCTGCATTAGGGGGGCTGTGCATCCCTCCCTGCATACCTGTCAAACTCAGCATCCACTGTGTAGGTTAATCCACACAGCTGATGCGTATTCATTCACATATATAGGCTTACTGCATGCAGCTCTCCACTAGTAGAAAAACAAACAAATGGAACTGCATGAGCAGGGCCCTCCATTTCCTTCTGTATCTAACTGAATTGTAATTGTACTGTCTCTCTTATATTGTAAAGCGCTACCTAAACTGTTGGCACTATATAAATCCTGTATAATAATAATAATCTTCATGCTGTACAGGACTCTGTCTGGTAAATTGACCCTTAGGATGAATAGAGCTACAGTGTCTTTAACTACAGAGGTCAGTGAGTATTAGTTTTAAACCTGATCTCTGGCTTATACCCTCCCCCCTCTAAACATTACTTCCTCACGCTCTTTAGCAGCATTCCCACAGGTCCTGAAGTCTCCATCAGGAGCATAATTACATCATGACAAGGTATGGCAAGAAGACTGGTTGGCGGCAGGCCTGGACTGCAGTGGTGGATCACTGGTCTTCACTCCCAAAATAGGTGCCATGGTAGGTCACATGACAGCACTATGAGCTGAGTATAAGGACCCTGTGCACCCACACGCACACAGATGTCACATAGGGAGCAGCGTCTGTGTCCATGCAGCTGCTGTATCCCAATTCATAGCAATGGGACTGCCTGCTCAGAGATGTATGGAACGCCCATGCAGGGTAAACACAGTCCTCACATGGGGCACGAATTCATACGCCCTTTATGAACGAGGCCTAAAACCTTGCTGAAGGGTATTTTTTTTTTTAAACTTTGCGAATAGGTGGGGGGGAAACAAATTTACTGGATATTGGCTTATAGCTTACTAAGAATATGTAAAGCTTTCAAGTGACATTAAAGGTTTGAGTTTTTTTTCTTTTAAAATACCAAACATATCATGCTTACCTGCTCTGTGCAGTGGTTTTCTACAGAGCAGCCCCGATCCTCCTCTTCTCATCTTCTCAGGTCCCCCGCCGACACTCCTGGCTTTTCCTCCTTAGCCAGTGCCCCCACAGCACGGCACTTGCTGTGGGGGCACTGGTGTGTGCTCGCTCCTGAGCCACTGCTCTATGCATCCATAATACACCCCCCCCCCATCTCATCTCATTGGCTTAATGGTGTGATTGATAGTCTGGCCACAGTTGTACTTTAAATCATTTAAATTTGATTAATCACAATAATTGTTTTATACATGCGGTTTGGCAAACAAACATGATGAAAAACAATTACTCACCTTATCTGCTCAGTAATTTCTTCTAAAGTCCTCTGCAGTAGTGCTATCACCCCTTGGATCACCTCCACTTCCTTGATGAGCTCTCTTTCTGCTTCATCATGAACCAGGTCTATCCCAACTCTCTTCTCTCTACAAAAGGATTTTTTTTTACAGTCAACAATTAATAAACATATTCAAACGAACAATACATATAGCTCATAAAATCTTCTGGCCAAACAATGTATAGAGTTGTGCTCAAAAGTTTACATATTCTGGCAGAAATTGTGAAATTTTGGCATGGATATTGAAAATATGACTGATCATGCCAAAAAATGCTCTTTTATTGAAGGATGATGATCATATGAAGCCATTTATTATCAAAGAGTTTTTTGGCTCCTTCTTAAATCATAATAACAGAAATCACCCAAATGGCCATGATCAAAAGTTTACATACCCTGGAATGTTTGGCCTTGGTACAGACACACAAGGTGACACACACGGGTTAAAATGCCAATTAGAGGTTAATGTCCCACATCTGTGGCTTTTTAAATTGCAATTAGTGTCAGTGTATAAATAGTCAATGAGTTTGTTAGCGCTTATGTGGAAGCACTGACTAGGCTAGATACTGAGCCATGGGGATCAGAAAAGAACAGTCAAAAGTCCTGCGTAACAAGGTAATGGAACTTTATAAAGATGGAAAAGGACATAAAAAGATGTCCAAAGCCTTGAATATGCCACTCAGTACTGTTAAATCACCTATTAAGAAGTGGAAAGTTCGGGGATCTCTTGATACCAAGCCAAGGTCAGGTAGACCAAGAAAGATTGCAGCCACAACTGACAGAAGAATTGTTCGGAATACAAAGGGAAACCCATAGGTAACCACAAAAAAAAAAATTGTTTTGAAAGAGCACAATATGATGACACTTGAACAAAAATGAGCTGCATGGTCGAGGTGTCAGAAAGAAGCCTTTACTGCACCAATGACACAAAAAGGCCCGGTTAGGCATGTCAAGGTGTTGTCAGGCATATTGTAACCGGGCTTTTTTGTGGCATTGGTGCAGTAAAAGCTTCTTTCTGGCACCTCGACCAAACAGCTAATTTTTGTTCAAGTATCACCGTATTGTACTCCTGAAAAACAACCATACCATCTTTTTCCAAAGCAGCCTGTTTTTCTTTTGAGGTTGCCTGTGGGTTTTTCTTTGAATCCCAGACAATTCTTCTGTCAGTTATGGCTGCAATCTTTCTTGGTCTACCTGACCTTAGTTTGGTATCAAGAGATCCCTGAACTTTTCACTTCTTAATAGGTGATTTAACAGTACTGATTGGCATATTCAAGGCTTTGGGCATCTTTTATGTCCTTTTCCATCTTTATAAAGTTCCATTACCTTGTTACGCAGGACTTTTGACAGTTCTTTTCTGATCCCCATGGCTCAGTATCTAGCCTAGTCAGTGCTTCCAGGTAAGAGCTAACAAACTCATTGACTATTTATACACTGACATTAATTGCAATTTAAAAAGCCACAGATGTGGGACATTAACCTCTATTTGGCATTTTAACCCGTGTGTCACCTTGTGTGTCTGTACCAAGACCAAACATTCCAGGGTATGTAAACTTTTGATCATGGCCATTTGGGTGATTTCTGTTATCATTATGATTTAAAAAGGAGCCAAAACAACTATTTGATGATAAATGGCTTCATATGATCATCATCCTTCAATAAAAGAGCATTTTTTTTGGCATGATCAGTCATATTTTCAATATCAATGCCAAAATGTCACAATTTCTTCCAGGGTATGTAAACTTTTGAGCACAACTGTATGTGAAGTCTAACATTTTAGTTATCTTTGAATAAAGTAGGGAACCCCTGTTTTTTAACTGTTTTTTTTTTTGTTTGGGAGATTTAATTTTCTCTTCTTGTCTCAGAGACAAATCAAACAAAAAGATTTCATTTAAATGAAGGGATGTATCCTCTCGAGCAAGCTATACACCAGTACAAAAATTCTCATGAAATTTCCCAGTTAATTTGAAGGACAATTTCAAAAAAGTCGTTTGCTTTTAACATTTGACTTCAGAATAAATACACTTTACTGAACTAAAACTGCATTCACTGTAAAGTTGACCATAGATGAGTCTGTTTTTTTCATCCAACTAGCTGTCTTTGTATCCTGACAGAGGGGAGAATTCCCTGCTACACTGATCAGGGCTGCAGTGCTGATTGAGAAGAAATTTTCCAGCATAGAGGTTGAATAGAAGTGGATCAATAGACTGACTTTTGTTCAATCACAAAGTGTACCATACATGGATTGAAATGAATCCGGTCCCTGCTGAACTGTCTACATTTCAATCCATCTATTGCCAGCTTTAGAAATGTGTTCAATTGAGAAAAATGTTCCATCCTGCTTCTTTGAATTTTCTTGTCACCAAGGTTTAAAAACCAACTTCAATTTCAACCCACCAACATTTAGAAAATCAAACAAAGGTTCTTAAAACTAAACTAGTGCATATCTAGCTTTAGACAATTAGAACTAGAACAGGTTTACCCATTAAAAGGTTACCCCTCACCTTCTGTTTGTAACAAAGCAAACATTTTGGTTTTCTCACAATTTTTTGTACCAAACACAATGGTCACCAGGAGCAATTAAGATGATCTCTCTAGTGGTGTCACAGAGAGCAATAAAAACATTATGGGGTATGGGACTTCCTCCATCTATCCAATTTCTGTGGATAGAGGAATTAAGCTGGCCATAGCTGGTAGAAATCTCGGTTGGCTCAGCAGAGACTGACAGAGATTCAAGCCATCTATTGGCAGGCTGATTGTACCCAAGCCAATCCATCAATTGACTTCGGTACAATCGGTTTGATTTTTTACATGCGATTTTTGGCACCGGTTATAGCCGCTAGCAATAATCACTGTGTTTTCCCAGCAGGGACTGCTCCTTGCGCCCCTCCTTTCCCCGCCGGGAAAATGCAATAGCTCCGCGGGAGGGATTCCCCCATCAACACAGTCAGTGTTGATAGGGGAATCGAGTGATTTTCTTTCCTGCACATTCCCTATTTAACCAAGGAGGCAGCCCATCATAGCAATAGGCCTACAGTTTTGGAATGTTGGGGATGAGAGGGAGTGGGCAAGCTTTGATACAACCTGCTAGCAGTTTTGTTTTGTTTTTTTATAAGTCGGTTGTGGTAGGGAGCTGGATAATGAGCGTTACACCACATCGTACTGCTTACTTTTTTTTTTTTATTTTACTACAGGATTTTGGATTGATATTGCTGCTGCTGCTGGAGGTGGTGGGAAGCAATGATCAAATAAGCATAAATAAGCAAGGCCCATTTTATTCTGTTTTAGAAACACGTTACTTTTCTGTTAAGAGTCTTCTTTCCAGCATCTCTTTACCTTATTAGCTCATAGATGTAATCCTGTATATAATTACCTTTCCACTAAGCATTGCTGGGCTATGGACAAAGGCTCCATGCAGCTCTCCAAGGCTTTTTCCAGGCGAACTTTATAAGCCAGTAGCTGTTCTATGTCATTAACTGTGTCTTCAAGCTTGCTATCTAATTCTTTCTTCCAAAACTGGATCTCTTCCAATCTCTGCTCTGTAGAGAAAATTGGCAGACATAACTGGAGTAAACCACAAGAAAATTACACTCATCTATAGAGAAGTCCCGTAACATCTGAATAATAGAGAGAGGATTATGGGATTATGCAGCATAGTACAGAATACAGTGCCGTGACCCATAACAACCTATTAAAATGAACTGTTCACTGAGCTGACCTCCATAGATTAAAATCGTCTGGGTTGTTATGGGTAACTGCACATTTCTCCACACCTTTGCCTTGTGAATAGCCTATTCTATATCTATACTGAAATGTTAATATAAAGCCATCCAATGTGGTGCCTATATTTAAAAAGAGAAACTCAAAATACGCTGCACAAAAAACACACATAAATACCTAAAGCAGCCAGCACAAAGTATAGGATACAATATACAATACACCAATATCAAAATAATATTATATCACTGATTATGCTTATATTGATAGCGCTGAACTTATTTTGATATTTCTATATTTAAAAAGGGATCAGTGTCTTTACCAAGTAACTACAGACCTGTTAGGTTAACATCTATAGTTGGGAAGATACTGGAGAGTTAAAAAAAAGACCACATAGATGTGTTTTTTCAACAAAAAAAAATTTTGAAGCAACAGGCAGCATGGATTCATGAAAGGCAGAAGTTGTCAAACAAATCTGATTTTATTTTTATGAGGAGGTGAGCACAACATTAGACAAAGGAGTGGTTGTGGACATGGTATACTTGGATTTTGCAAAAACATTTGACACAGTTCCCCACACACGACTAATGTGTTGTGCAAAGACTACAGGCTTGGAAAAATCTGTATGTAAATGGATAGAAAACTGGCTAAAAGATCGTATTCAGAGAGTAGTGGGTAATGATTCATACTCTGAATGGTTTAGGGTTGTCAGTGGTGTACCCCAAGGTTCAGTATTGGGACCCTTATTCTTTAATATATTTATAAATGATATAGGGTCTGGGATTAAAAATCCCATTTCAGTCTTTGCAGATGACACCAAACTGTGCAGTGGAATAACGTCCTTACAGGATGTCTTCAATTTACAAGCTGACCTCAATGCACTGTTTAACTATTGATACTAATTACAATGGTTACAAATGATACTAATTACAATGGTTACAAATGAATATTTGTGCTTTGAGTAATGGCTGTGTGTGTATACATTTCATATTATTGCTGTGACACAAATCAAAGCTGGCCATGCACTGTGCAAAATTTGCTTAGTTATTGGCCCTGTCGGACTCTTCCTGCACAACATCCTTCAAATGAAAAATCAAATGAGCCAGACAGAAAACTAATCAGCTGAAAAGTAGTTGTATCCATTCAGATGCAGTACGTGTTTGGGTATTCTGCCAGCTGTCAGAATACAGTAGTCAAACACAAGAACAAATGGGGCACTGGATTCAGATTTTCTAAGGGTCACTAAAATTGTCACTGGGCACACTGGGTTTGTTTCAGCGGCACTATACAACACAGAGATCCCGCTCAGGAACAGGGAAAGGATCCAAAGTTGGGAATCCACATACATACTATCCAAGGAGTTTGCGGTTTACTGGAATCAGATATTATATGCAAATAGGTGGACATCCTTTGACTTATAAATTAATTATATCTTACTTGTACTGTATATTCATTTTTATATTCATGACCTTTTATCTTTACATTTATGACCTTTGTATTAGTCCCCCAAAACGCATTGGATTATTCTGGGGGATTCATCCATCCACACTATTAGAGGGGATTTTTTTCAGGTTGAGTGAAGTAATCTATGTATGTAGTGTATGGCCAGCTTTTCATTACTGGCTTGGTATAGATATGTATAACTGCTACAAAAAAAGTCAAATATCATCTCTATTCTCTAATTACTACAGTGCTTGGTGTATTCACTTGTTAGGATGTTTGAATGGGCGAAATAGAATTCTGAGTCATATAGGTCAATTGCAATACCTAGCTTCTTGTTGACATCCTTTTGAGTTTTCTGTGTTGTATTTTCAATTTCATCAACCAGTCTCTGACTTTCAGCAACCAGCCTCTCTGATCGGGACCTTTGAGCTTCTGCGTTGGCAAAGCTTGTCTGATTAGCAATACTCCACTCTTTTGGAAGGAACTTTGGTGGGAACTGGACCAGCTTTGCCATTGTAAAGTCTAAAAAAAGAAATTAGAGCTGTGAAGACACCATTTTTAGAATAGTCATTCATAAATTTCTTTTTGTACTTTTAAAGTAACAAATATATATGGCACAATAAAACAGTATTTATATATATATATATATATATATATATATATATATATATATATATATATATATCTCTATCTATCTATCTATCTATCTATCTTGTAGTGTCACACAGACAGAATTACAAAGATGCACAGCCTATAGAAAAGTTCTAAACTATTACAGTACATAGGAAATAGTCCAGGATATAGTCTTGGACATGTACATTTGAAAGATTTGCTTAAATTTAATGTATGCATTAGGAACACAAACTGTATCTTATATTACTATATATATATATATATATATATATATATACACACACACACACACACACACACATACACACTGCCTGGAGTTTGCATGTTCTCCCTGTGGCTGCCTGAGTTTCCTCCGGGTACTCCGGTTTCCTCCCACACTCCAAAGACATGCTGGCAGGTAAATTGGATCCTGTCTAAATTGGTCCTAGTATGTGTATGTATGAATGTCAGTTAGGGACTTTAGATTGTACGCCCCTTGAGAGTTAGGGACTGATGCGAATGTACAAAATATGTATAAAGCACTGTGTAAATTGACGGCGCTATTTAAGTACCTGAAATAATAATAAAATATATATATATATACATATATATATATATATATATATATATATACACACACACACACACACACACACACACACACACACACACATACACACTGTATATATACACACATACATACATATACATACACACGCACAGTCCAAATATAATAAATGCTCTTTTTGCTTCTATATCCAAGTGTAAAAATTACACATATCACATTAAAGCAATACAGAAACGGGTTTCGAGCCATTTCTGTTTTTCAAGCTAAATGTGAAAAGAACAGGTGGAATCCATCATACCAACGTTACTCCCCCAGAAATACATATATACAGTATATGTAATAAAAGATACATTTTGTGTTCCTAATGCATATGGTCTGCCACTCCCCTCTTCCAATCCCTCCATTGGCTGCAACTCACCCAACTAATTAAATTCAAAATACTAAGAAAAATTTACAAGTCATCCACAACTCTGCCCCCAAAAACATCACTAAATACCAACCTGATTGTTCTCTTAATTCCTTCCAAGTCCTCCTGCTCTCTAGATCCCTTGTCACCTCCTCCCATACTCGCCCCCAGGACTTCTCCCTAGCCTCTCCCATCCTCTGGAATTCCTTACCCCAATCAGTCCAACTATCTTCTACTCTGTCCACTTTCAGACGATCCCTGAAAATCCTTCTCTTCAGAGAGGCCTACCCTGCTCCCACCTAACAACTGTATTTCCACTTTCTCCATCAGTTCATCCCCTACAATTATGACCTTTTGTATCTCTTGACCCTCCCTCTTATCCTAGATTCACACCTAAGCTTTTTCCGAAGCATTTTGTGTTTTGCAGAAATGCAGTACAATTAATTTAAGATGATTTCCTATGGAACACATCTCCGTGTTTTCACCCAGTGCATTTTTTTAGAAAGGGGCAAGGACTGCAGTGGAATGGAAACACTGCATAAAAGCATGTAGTGCTTTTTTTGCTGCATTTTGCCTTTTAAATCTGCCTAGCAACAAGAAAAGTGTAAAAAAAAAAAACAAAAACGCAAAACGCTGCAAAAACGCAATGCAGAAATGGCTCAAGCACAAACTGCATGGGTGTGAACCTAGCCTTAGATTGTAAGCTCTAACGAGCAGGGCCCTCTGATTCCTACTGTATTAAATTGTATTGTAACTGTAATGTCTGCCCCAATTTTGTAAAGCGCTGCGCAAACTGTTATCGCTATATAAATCCTGTATTATAATAATAATATTAAATTTTTGGTTTGGGATTTAATAACGTTTTAAATTAACAGTGTTATGAAAAAATTTGTATGTTTTAATGCACTGCTACAAGAAACACATGAACTAATTAACAAAGAAGTTTACATATGAATGCTACAAACAACATAAAAAATAAACTTCACAAATAAATAACGTTGATGATACAATTATAGCATTAATAATAATTATAACAGCAGCCACAGGGAGTAGAGAATTCATCAGGGCTGAAGGTTAACGAAGGCTAGGTTCACTCCTATGCAGTTTGTGTTTGATCCATTTCTGCAGTGCGTTTTGCGTTTTTGCTGTAAAAAGCACCACAGAAACGAATAAAATGCAAACTGCATAGGTATGAACCTAACCACTAGTGATTGCATTTTTATTGTACCATCACAAGAGGGCAGAACTACTTCCTGTGATAATAGGAAGACACAGAAGTAGGAACTAAAAAGTCTAACACTTTGTTTCCTACAGGACAGTGATTACAGTGAACATATCCAGTCACATGTAATTAAGGGTTTTCTGTGTTTGTTACAGCCATTCCTAATAAAACACTTCTGGTTTCACCCGACCCATCCTTCGCACAGTTGAATTATTTACCGTATGTGCATTCGCACAGTTGAATTATGTTTTACCGTATGTGCATCGACAAAATTGGCGCCCAACGTGGGGCCGGGTGAAAGGAACGCCAAAAGGTCCGGAAGTGAAAAGGAGTGACTACGCTGTCCGTGGTGAAGTTACAGAAAAACATTAGGAGTATGGATATCGAAAAGTTGCAAGATGAAATCAGTGAACACCTGATTCACATGACAGTCGATGATCTCATGGAGACTTGCCAGTTTATAAAGGCCTCCGAAGCAAGTATGGCAAAAGGAAAAACCCGGCGCCATTACATGCGGATAGTGAATGAGGTGTTAGATGAACTGGTAGAGACTGAAAGTGAAGAAGTGGTGACACAATTTCTGCAGGCAACTAAGAAATTCATTGGTGAGTTTAGAGAAGAGAGATAACATGGAAGCACCAAGCGATAGTGGCAAAGACCCTCAAGCAGAACAACAGTTAAAGGATTTAAAACAGCAATACTACAGTATACAGGAAAAACTTCAAGAAACGGCCAAGATGATAGAGGGACAGATGAAAGAACTTAGCACTAAAGACAAAGACTCAAAAGGAAGTCCTGCAAATCAAGACCCTAATCTAGTTGCTCAGAGACTTTCCCATACTAACTTGCCAGAAGTTACAATCAGAAAGGACTTTAAAATTGCTGGTCAGATAGGTGAAAAGGAACAGAAAGATAAGCTGTCCTATACTAACCTCATGCACCAGATTGACATGGGACTGCAAAAGGGATATCCCGAGTCAGAGCTTGTGGAAGCTGTGGTGAAAGCCATTAGTCCTGGGTCAAGTCTCAGAGGCATGCTAGAGCTGAAGAGTGGACTGACCCTAGTGCCACTCAAGAGAATCCTAAAAAGCCATTATAAAGAGGAAAATGCTTCCGAACTATACCAACAATTGATCAATATATCACAGAATAGTAAAGAGACTCCCCAGAACTTCCTATTTAGGGCCATTGCATTGAAGGACCGTTTGCTGTTCGTTTCACAAGGGGAAGGTTCAGATGAACACTTTGGCACTGAATTTATACAAAAGAAATTCTTAAGGTCAGTGGGCACTGGACTGAGAAGTGACCATATCAAGTTCCAACTAAAACAACACTTGGACGATCCTACAGTCTCAGATGAGTTGCTCATAGAGAAGATGAATGAGGCTACAAACATGGAGATGGAAAGGGAGCAGAAACAAAAGAAATCTGAGCACAGTAACCTGACGAAGGGAAGAGAGTGCCAGGCCAACATCCTCCATTGTTCTCAGGTACCAGGCACCCTCCCTTTGCTTCCATCACAAACAAGTAGTCTGGCAATCCAACAGCCTTCAAAGAGTAACTCTGACCTTGAAAAGATAGTAATACAGTTGCAACAAGAAATATTCGATATGAAAACACTTCTCCAAGATTCGAGAACTCGACAAGAGCATGGCTTTGGAGGACCTAGAACAACTGTTGGACGAAGGACAGGGACTTGTCAATCTTGTGAAAAGACTGATCAGAGAACTGCATGTGACCATTGCTTTAACTGTGGTCGAGCTGGACATAGGGCGAGACAATGCAGAGCGGCCAAACAAAATCAGTTAAACGGGAGAAGGTTGCTGTTAAGGGACCGACAGTAACCTGTGCCAGAACCAAACCTGCGTCCCAAAGTGCAAATCATGTCAGTAGTAAAGAAACCAGTCCCCAACCTACCATCAGAGCCCTGGCTGGAAAGTTAAACGCAGACTACTGGAGGAAAACGCCAACCTGCCCTGCTCAAAGACTATCCCCGACAGCTGAAAAATTGCCAACCAATGTGAATGGCATCACTTTGAAAAAGCACAACAAGCTACTGGGTCTTATTGGAAAGAGATGCCTTGTGAACTGTGAAATAGACAAAACTCCTGTCCAGGCCTTATGGGATACTGGCTCTCAGGTTAGCATTATCAATGAGGGCTGGAGACAGCGAGTACTGCCACACACTGTGCTCCGATCGTTTGAAGAACTGCTGGGACCAGGGGTACTCCAAGGGAAAGCAGCCAATGAGACAGAGATTCCGTTCTCAGGTTGGATTGAGGTAACCTTTCAGCTTACATCGAGCAGTAATACTACCAAACAGTTATTAGTACCACTAGTAGTCTCTGAGGATGAGAAAGTAGCTGAGAAGCCAATTATCGGCTATAATATAATTGAAGAAACATTCAAAGAGACAGTTGCTGATGGGAAGAAAGTTATCCCAGGTTTTGTGGACATATTAAGAACAGCTTTGGAACTGCCAACCCCCAAAGCAGAAGTCCTTGTAAGCTTACTACAAGCCAACTGTAGGGAAACCAGTGGTGCTATCGTAAAGACTGGTACTAAGAACCAAAGAATCCCTGCAAATACTGTAACATACATCCGGTGTAGTGCTCACACCAAACCGTCCTTGCAGGCTCAGACAGTTTTGTTTACACCGAGTGAGGCTTATCACCTGCCGGATGGACTGCATATTGGTGAGACACTAGTCTCAT